AGGCCAGGGAACAGGACCTCCTCGGCCTATCCATTTTTCTCCATACAACTCATTTAAGTGTTGTCTTACATTATGTAGGTAATGAGGTGGCGCCCCGTCCTGCATAAACCATATGCTTTGGCGTTCAATTAAAGGGACATCTTTTAAAAATCCTGGCAAGTCGTTAACTAAAAAAATTGTAATAATCCTCACCATTTAATCGATTAGGCAACACAAACGGTCCGATTAGCTGAACGCCTAAAATGCCTGCCCAAACGTTGACGGAAAACCGAATCTGATGTCTGGACTGAAATATGCTGTGTGGGTTTTCATCAGCCCATTCATGAGCGTTATGAAAATTGACATAACCATCTTTACTGAAGTTTGCCTCATCCGTAAACAAAATGCAAAAATTCGGAATCCGCCTCGATTTTTGCAAAAACCATTGGCAGAACTGCCGACGTGGTTCGTAGTCATTCGGATTTAAAGCTTGAACACGCTGGATATGAAAAGGATGAAGTAGTTGTTCGCAAAGAATTCGCCAAACTACGGAAAAACTTATGTTATGCATACGTGCGACACTTCTTACACTAACCCTTGGATTGTCCTGCACAGCTCTCAATACATTTTCTTCCATCACCGGTGTTCTTACAAATCTGTCTCTGCCACGATCATTTACTCTTGGTTGGAACGAACCATTTTCTCTTAAACGTTGATGGATCCTCTGAAATACCTGTCGAGAAGGAAGTCTTCTATTCGGGTATGCTGCCGCATACAGACGCCTCGCTTCTGATGCATTTCCAGCCGCACGGCCGTACATAAAGTGCATATCTGCCATTTCCGTGTTTGAATATGACTCCATTTTATGAGTTGCAATAATGTTGTATACTTAAATTTTCCACTCACCACTTTTACTAATTAAACACTGCAAAGCTCAATTGACAGTTTATCAATAACTTAAATTGTTAAGCGTTGTGGCAACGTCAGTCTTTTATTTGCCATGGTAAACAGATTTTTGTAATTTTTGGCCTAATAACTTAAAGAGCAGAGTAATTTTCAAACTCAATTTACTCGAAAACCGTTGGAAATATCGATTTGGACAAAGATAATATTTTTTACGTAAAATTGTTAAGATTTTATAAATCTGTAGAAAAAATTGTAAAAAAATCGATGTAAAAAAAATTACGGGCCGAAAACCCCCTTCACCAACCTAAATGGGACGCATATGATTTGCATATCGAAAAACGGAATAGCCCATGTTATTTAACGTAAAAAGATATGTAAGAACCATATATTTTTTTCTATTTATTTGCGACCGTTTTGTCAATAACAGAAAAAAAAAACAGTTTTGTTTGAGCCCTTTTAAGGGAATATAACTTCCTAAGGGTACGTTTTAGGGCACATGTTAATAGGAACTTTTTGGCTTATTTTAATGCGTTATAAACGCAGCAGAAGTTTGGAACCCTATTTTAGAAACACCCTGTATAAGTAAGTCTGAATCATTTTATTTTGATCTCAGGGTTTATCGAATAGGCCATATTTTCTAGGAGGTATTTAACATAAAACAGGTTGCAGCAGTTAATTACTAAACAAAATAAGTTCACTTTAGAATATAACAATTTTACTGAACAAGAGAAATTTGGTGGCACACCACAGTGCCGTAGGGTTGTTGATATTTAAAAATATATTTTCCGTACTAGGTATGTCAAATGTATAAAAATTTAAAGAAGGGAGGTTTTTTATTTATTTTTTTTATTATTTTTTTTATGAAAATTGGAAAAATGTATGTCTTCCGTTCAATACAACTAAACAATTGATAGTCAAGTAAGATAAAACTTAATAAAAAGTGTCAACAGTTATTAATCGTAAATACAGAAAAATTGCTGTAACAGAATTTTGATTTTGGTGATACTGTGATACTAAAATAATATCGTTGATCAGAATTTTGCTAAAATTATGAAATAATAGTGTTAAAATGATTTTGAAGTACACATTACATGCTTTTGTAGCAATAATAATGATAAAATCTATGCAACCATGACTATGACATAAATTCAGTATTATTTGGGTATTTTGCCTGTGAATACATCCTTGCGCCAAAAGTATCAGTTAAGGATTGTTTTATAGGTTTATGAAAATAGTTTTGCCTAATCGAAAATCTCACACTGAGAAAAACTATACAAAATACAAAAAAGAATCACGCTCTTTAAAAAATTGTTTAAACTGATGGTGGTAAAAATACTTTAAAAAATAAAGAAAAAAAAACGAAAACTATACTACAAATAAATAACTTGAGACAATATAAAAATTCATTTTCATATTTGATTGGAAATAATTGACTCTTATATGACTTCTTGGTAACAAAAATATTATTTTCATAAATACATATTTTTTTTAATTCTTAGTGCTAGAGCTCAAATGTGCCTGTAAACTTGAATAACTGCGACAAATCCAACAAACTAATTTAACGAAAAGTGGAGTGCAGTGCCTGCATAATCTGTTACCATGTCAAGTGAGCCAGAGACACACAAATACAAGGGACACTCCACTGGGACGGTCCGGAAGAACAAACATAGATCCAGATCGACCCCTAGGCGCAACGACTTGGAGAAGCCCAAAAAGAGGAACATGAGCGCCGCAACTTCGTTCGCTTCTATTCCTAATGCAATTATGCTCTCGATACTGAATAGCGGCCTACTTCCAACTAGCAGATTTAATGGTGAGTAATGGTTCACTTACTTTTTTATTTGTTCATTGCGGCATATTTCTCAATTAATAGTAATTATTGCTTTAATTAGTGGAGGAACGGGTGATAACATAAAACCACACTTTGGTTTTCGTCGATAAATTAAGGCCCAATATGACCATTATTGTTTGTTTATTAGTCGACTCCAGACCAATATTTGTATAAACGGATTATTTTAAAACAATTTTAAATATTTCTAGTTTACATGGAATTATCACACATTTCTTTTATTGTGAATAGCCAAAGTTCTTATACCTAATAGTTATCCGCAAACTCTCCGTTTTTTAAATAAATGTTATTTAAAATTAATAAATGATATAACTCGTTTCCAACTGCAAAAAATCTATGTAGAAAACCATGTAAACAATATTTTATTTCAAATTTGGATTAACGGAATACGTTTAAATCAAAACGACTCATATTCAAACCGACCCAAACTAACCTCCACGAAAAATAGAAGAAACATCTATCTAGAATTGGTTCGTTCTTTCATATAAAATCCGGTGAACTATAGTAGTTTATTTGCATCTACAATTTTCAATGTTCTATACAGGGTGTTTCTGAAATAAGTGCATACCTTGAAAAGGGTGACAGAAGGAACGAAAATGAGGAACTTTTTTAAGCAACTGATGATCCAACTACCTACGTCAGTTTTTGAGAAAATTAGTTAAGAAAATGAACCATAAATGCAAGCCGACCCTGTGCATCTTATGCACGTGCACAGCCAGAATGCTTCGGACCCAATACATGCGTGAAGCGCTTCTCTAATTGGGTGACGTTCCACGTGACTTCCACAATCAAGCAAATCTGCTGTCTTATATTCTTTAGTTGTGTATTGCAAGTATTACTTTACCGACGTATAAAATGTTTTCTGATCAAGAACTAGCAGATATGTTGTTAAAGCACGGAGAATGTCAGTACAATTTAAATGAGACTAGTCATTTGTATGCGGTCCATTATCGTAACAGACGACAACCTAACAGTAGAACAGTGCAAAAGGCAGTTCAAAGGTTACGGAATACCATATGAAGGTAATGGACGGGAAAGGCCGCAACATGTTTTCAACAACGACAACCTCTTTGAGAAAAATCCGAGGCTCAGTACACGCGACATTGGCCAAGACGGGGGTGTATCTAACAGTACGGTGTAGCGTATAATACGGGGACAATTATTATACCCCTAGCATGTACAAAGGATGCAGGCATTAAATCAGCCCCGTATGGGATTTTGCCAATGGTTTCGACATCAAATAGATCCGGATTTTACAAGCAAAGTGCTTTTTACGGTTAAATGTTGTTTTATTGGAGACCGCATACTAAATTTTCACAATATTCACTATTAGTATGATGAGAATCCTCACGTTGTGCAAAGATCTCTGTTCCAGCAGCGGTTTTCAGTGAACGTGTGGCGTAGTGTCTTTGGTGACTCGGTCCGATAGAGTTACGTTTAGATGGTGCTGCTTACTTAGAGTTTTTAACAAACGCCTTACCGGATTTGTTGGAAAACGTTCCTTTACAAATTCCTGGCCAAATGTTCTTCATGCATAATAGTGCCTCTTCCCATGCTTCTTGTGCAGTTTGGGAATTTTGCATACCAACTTTCCGGAAAGCGACCCTGTACGTTGGCCAGCACGAAGTCCGGGTATGAACTCTCTGGGCTTTTTTTTTCATGTTTTGAATTTAAAACGTAATGTTTGCGAATTTACCATCAGCTGCTTAATAAAAGTTGCTCATTTTCATGCCCTTTATCACCCTTTCCAAGAAAAGCACTTATTTCAAAAACACGTTGTATATTGTTTTAATAGTAATATAATTGGAAGGTCATATTTCCAGTAACCTGAATTCGAACGAGTTTTAAAGATGTCTTTATCGTGCGATGAAAACGTTTAGTAATACTTTTACTTTGAGGACAATAAGAGGTATGTATTAAGTGCAATTTCAAGTATAATTATAATGAACTCTTTTAATATATGTATTTGCCTCGAAATTCGTACATATCTTGATCAATAGTTGTAGGCCGAAACGACTGATATATCCCGTGGGTAATGTTTCAACCGCTATTTTTATCATAATATGCCCAAGAGGATATGCTTCTGCTCGATCAATGTCAAAATATAAGTATAATCATTAATAGTAGACAATATCTAAAGTGATATATTCAAGTCTACCTTGCGGAACATTAGATTATCCCATTTCAGCTTTCCTGTGTTTATAAACCTATTTTTCTGTAGCGATGATTTTAGAACATAATTATATGTAGTGTTACAGCGATGTTACCACAAACTTTGATATTCCTCCTACCAACTCACACAAAATAAAAAAACAAGAATAAAGACTTTTTCTAAAACGATTCCTAAGGGCTCTAACCCGTCAAGAATTGGACACACACTTTTTGATAAATTGTTAAATTGAAGATATAGACATCAAATTTGTTATAGTTTAGATTCCCAGTTCAAAATCTATACCTAACAAAGTTAGGCGGATTTTTAGCAGCCTTCTAGGTTCAACTAAAGGTAAAATTAGTAAATATTTGTGATTTTCTGTCACAGTGCACATCGAGCGGCGCCTCCACCATTTTTTGTTTTTAATTTTTAATTGGACATAATTACTATGTTAGAACCGTACATATTTTTAAAATATAAGCCTAGAAAATCTTACTGTCTGCTAATGCAATTTTCATAACAAAATTTAACACATAACGCAAAACATGAATATGAAAGTTAAGTATTCAATTCCAAATATCGATGTCAGACGTTTCTCAAAAATTAATTATGAATCAGTGCTGGTCTTTTGTTAGCACAGTACCGTGCATGCAGATTCTCTTCATCCCATAGATGTAAGTTATGAGAGTTAAGAATGACATTTCTTGTAAAACCAGATTCATTTGACAGAGAAAATATAAAGATCACGAGAATTATGTGCAAATTATAAAATGGCATTACTTACATGACAATAGTCTACTTGGCAAATTACAGTTTCAATGTTCTGCATTTAGTGTAAAATTTACCAACTTCACACGTTGGTAATATAGTAGTAATTTTCAATTAAAAATTAAAAAATATATGAAGGATACTATTTACCGATGAATCTGGTTTTACAAGAAATGGTATTTTTTAATTCCCATAACTTACATTTATGGGATGAAGAGAATCCTCACAGTACTGTGCTAACAAATGGCCAGCACCGATTCATAATTAATGTATGGGCAGGAATAGTGGATAATAATTTAATAGGTCTATACGTTTTTAAGAAACGTCAGAATAGACACCGATATTTGGAATTGAATACTTAACTTAGGTACTTTAAGTTATTCTTGTTTTCTTTTTCTATTTTGTGTTATGGTATAAAGTATGTTTGCCAAATTTTATTAGTGAAAATTACATTAGCAGACAGTAAGATTTTAAAGGCTCTTACTTTAAAAATATGTAGGGTTCTAACATAGTAATTATATCCAATTAAATATATTTTTTTAATGGTGGAGGCGCCGCCCGATGTGCACTGTAACATTAAATCACAAATAATTCCTAAACTGTTAATTTTGCCGAGTTGAACCAAGAGAGTATCATCCTTGGCAAATCCAAGGAATTTATTTTTGATACTGGCAAATTGCGATTGTCATCTGTGCAAAGTTCTGGGTTGTTAACCATTGAGCATAGTCCGTCCTTGGCGTTCTGGGCATAATGAAGTTTCACTAACAACATCAAAAACAAGCTGTACGCATGTGTTATCGGTCACCAAATTTGCATCATGCTGAAGTTAATAGTGTAGACTGTAAAAAGAAATTACTTAATAATTTTCACCTTTGAGTGCCCGCAACTTGTTAACGAAGGCCCGTATGAAAAAAAATTATATGAAGAACTGATATTATTTTGACCTCGTCTATCTATCTCGACTTTTTTGTATCAAGTATTGGGACACCCTGTATATCTCTATATCTCTTGGTACATTTCAAAGCGCATCATACTCGTCCGCTTACAAAATTTGGTAAAAATAATGCTGAAATTTGGTTATATCACCGAATGAGCATAAAGTAACAACAAATATAAAGATATTAATTTATCGAGCAGTCCCATCAATTGATTAATATCTTTTATATTGCCTGTCACACACTGTATATTATAACCATTTTATCATCCACTACTAAATATAACAGCATTGGGGAATCTTTGCAGTAAAAGACCAAAGCACTCTCGGGAAAAGTTAGTATAGATGCTCAAAGTAAACGAGCAAATCATAACAGTCGGCAAATATTAGGTCCTAAACAAAGGAAAAGCAATATTTGAAATGCCTGAAAAAATGAAAAATGATATTTCCAACATTTGAGCCCAAATTTAAAACAAAATAACAACGATATCAGTCTCTTTGAGTCTTTTGGTATCACTTTCACTTAAATTGGATTACTAAGAACTTGTCAATACGAGTACAACATCAACATTTCTTTCTAAATCATATAATATAATTATTTCTTATTCACTCACACGTTGCCTTTTTTGATAAAACTTAATTTTTATTAACTTGTAACTATTATTTTATTTAGATTGTTTCTTAATATATATTTCTAATTACAGGTAAATTTTATCTGTCGTTACCTCTCTGTATACTCGTAAATGTCATTATTCCGAAATAACTTTATAATACTCTCAAACCGCAGTTCCTCGTAAAACACCATTGTGGGTCAGTAGCTTATTTTTAAAATAAACAGAGAAATTCATTTGATAAGTAAAATGCTATTTTCACAGTATAACTGAGATTTTATTACTACTTGAGCAAATATACAAACCGACTTCAATTATAATAAAGTCTACAATATATGTAATAATATAATGAACCTGTCTAGTAGTGGTCTTGCACTTTCTTCGTTATTTAATGCGTACACCCGAATGTCACTATATTAGAAACATGAAAAAGTACTTTAATTTATACCAAAATAGACAAACTAAAATTAGTTTTATCTTTTTCTGTTTTCACAGATGA